CCGTTATAACTGACACGTTCCTTAAACCTGACCATAAGGTTAGGAAGGACTCAAATTATTTAATTTATAGAAATGATCGTCTTGATGGACCCTGTGGTGGCGTTGCCATCATTGTTCATAGACGAATCAAACATAAAATTCTTTCTTCATTTAAAACCAAAGTTTTTGAAAATTTGGGAGTTTCTGTTGAAACAAAATTTGGACAACTTACGTTTATAGCTGCCTATTTGCCATTCCAATGCGTAGGCCAGAAAAAGAATTTTCTCAAGGGTGACCTTCAGAAACTTACCCGTCAGAGGTCTAAATTCTTCATTGTTGGTGATTTTAATGCAAAACACCGCTCATGGAATAATGCTCAAAGCAATTCCAGTGGTAATATTGTGTTTGATGATTGTTCTGCAGGTTATTACACTATTCAATATCCAAACAGCCCAACATGCTTTTCTTCTGCAAGAAATCCCTCAACTATTGATTTGGTCTTAACTGATTCATGTCAACTTTGTAGCCAATTGTTTACCCATGCTGACTTCTGATCACCTTCCAGTAACTTTTGAAATATGCCAAGAAATAATTTGTAATCCCAACAGCCCTATTTTCAATTACCATAGAGCTGATTGGGAGCAATATCGAACATTTATGGAATATAACTTCGATCCAAACATTCCTTTGCAAACCAAATATGAAATTAATTATGCTCTTGAATCTCTGACTAGTTCTATAGTTGAAACAAGAGCTGCCTCAGTTCCAAAATGCGAGGTTAAATTCGATTCAATTATAATAGACGACGATCTTCAGCTCTTGATCCGTCTTAAAAATGTCCGTAGGAGACAATATCAAAGAACACGCTATCCTGCCATGAAAGTTATCTGGCGGGATTTACAAAAACAAATTAAAAAACGATTATCTGGCCTGAGGAACAAAAATTTTGAAAATAATGTTTTTAAATTAGACCCGAGTTCCAAATCCTTTTGGAAACTCACAAAAATTTTGAAAAAACCTCAAAAGCCAATTCCAGCGCTTAAAGAAGGTGGTAAAATTTTGATCACAAATTTGGAAAAAGCTCAGAAACTTGCTAAGCAATTCGAGAGTTCCCATATTGTCAGTTTGGCTCTTACTAGTCCTATTGAGAATCAGGTTGCTCGGGATTATATGAATATTTTCTCTCAGGAAAATATTTTTGATGATTCCTGGGGGACTGATTTGGACGAAGTAAGGTCTATAACTAAAAAGTTTCAAAATATGAAAGCTCCAGGTGATGATGGAATTTTCTATATCCTCATCAAAAAACTCCCAGAGAGTACCTTTTCTTTCTTGGTAAAATTATTTAACAGATGCTTCCATTTGGCATACTTTCCTAATAAATGGAAAAATGCAAAAGTTGTTCCAATTTTGAAGCCGGATAAAAATCCAGCTGAAGCTTCTAGCTACCGTCCAATAAGTTTGCTTTCTTCAATAAGTATACTTTTTGAAAAGATAATTTTAAATAGAATGATGCTTCACATCAATACGAACTCAATTTTTGCAGATGAGCAATTTGGATTTCGCCATGGGCATTCAACTACTCATCAACTCTTAAGAGTTACCAATTTAATTCGTTCAAACAAATCTGAAGGCCACTCAACTGGAGTTGCTCTTCTAGACATAGAAAAAAGCATTCGACAGTGTTTGGCATGAAGGTTTGATTGCTGAATTGAAAAAGTTTAATTTTCCACTTTACATTATGAAATTAGTTTAAAATTATTTAACTGACAGAACTCTGCAGGTAAATTATCAAAATTCCAAATCTAATCGACTACCTGTTAGAGCAGGAGTTCCTCAGGGTAGCATTCTTGGGCCTATATTGTATAACATTTTCACTTCGGACCTCCCTGATTTGCCTCAGGGTTGCCACAAATCTTTGTTCGCTGATGACACAGGCATTTCCGCTAAAGGAAGAAGTCTTCGTGTTATTTGCAGCAGACTGCAGAAAAGTTTAGATATTTTCTCTTCTTATTTACAAAAATGGAAGATTTCTCCCAACGCTTCCAAAACACAACTTATAATATTTCCACACAAGCCTAGAGCTTCGTTTTTGAAACCTAGTAGTAGTCACATAGTCACTATGAACGGAGTTCCAATTTCCTGGTCAAACCAAGTGAAATATCTTGGATTAATACTTGACCAAAAATTAACTTTTGAAGATCACATTGAGGGCATTCAAGCCAAATGTAACAAATATATAAAATGTTTGTATCCTCTTATAAACAGGAAATCCAAACTTTGCCTGACGAATAAACTTCTAATATTTAAACAAGTTTTTAGACCGGCCATGCTTTACGCTGTGCCAATATGGTCTTGTTGTTGCACTACCAGGAAAAAAGCACTTCAAAGGATTCAGAACAATCACGGTGAAAACGAAGTGAAATCATAACTTGTCACTCCCAGTGAAGTTATTTCCTATTTGATTTGCCCAGTAATCACTTCAGCGTGGATGAGAATTCATCACTTCCCTTCATTTTCCCCATGAAATGACACCCATAACAAGGGCCAAATACTTTTTCCATAACACTAAATCCATACAACTCAAACAAATCTTTTGCTTATTGAGGCACTCATCCCAAAAATATAAACGGATGTACTACCTCATTAGGTACAACTGCACCAGTCATGAAAACGGCCACATCAGGATGTAATTCGAAGAAATCTCTAGTTAACAGACGAAGACATCTACGAAGTACCGAACAGTTACAAAGTAGGCAAAACATGATTTCTGTGTTGCACGGGAAATCAATTGAATTTTTTTTTAGCGATTGCTCAACGAAGTATGTGCAGAACAAATAAATATTTTAAAGATAGTTGACATTACTCTTATGAATTTTATTACATGAAAAACTGTACAAATGTAACACAAAATACTGAGATATTTATAAAGTTAACGAATTCTGGCAATCAAAATGGAGTTGGCAATAAATCTGAGTGAATTTGATTTAGATAGGATACACTACTCGAGCTCCGTCGAAACGTTACCTGCACTTATAGCAAATCAGAAAAATAAAAAAAGTGCGGGATCAACAAATAAGAGAGTAATTATGTAATAGCTTATAATAGGTTGATGCTCCCTTATTGAAATCATCGAACAATGGTGTATGATAATGATAAGCATATACAGGAATCTGAGGTCACTTGATCCCTGTTATTATTTTCCAGTGCTATTGGATCCTTGTTATTAAACAGTTTATAGAATTCTCTAACAAGCATCAACTCCGATACTTTTATTTAATACTCATTATTTGGCTACTCATACTTATATACTTGTTACATTTCGTTGATACGTAGCGTTAATCTAACTTAGTAGGCGCTAAGGCCAGATATATTTATTGAGTACCCCGAGAGACCCAATTAAAGAGATTAGTGATGTAAGGCTGCTCGTGTTTACCTACAAGCGTATGTGAGATCAGCGAGCTTGTAACTCGGAGCCACGGAGCATTTGAAAACCACCGCTCTTAGGGAGTGCCGGGATGATGACACAACACACCACATGCAAAAAGGAAAAGATGATTAAATAGCAAAATGAGCAAAATGACCAATTGCCAACATTACACATTGAGTAACTTTTTTCTCCCACGGTAAAAAATTTTGACCTCATACTAACTTTTTCTTGTCTCAATGATACCTTTCGAATGAGATATCAGTCATTGATGTATATTCTTGGACCAGTCTCCATACATTTTTGCCCAATTTCCTTTATAACATTTTCACTAGAACGAAAACGACGCAGCAAAACAAAACACGTCATTTTCGCAGCACGGCCTACTTCGATCTTCTGAAGCACTTTAAAACAGTTTTACTGCAGAAATTGAATAACATACCAAGTCTTAACTAGTTTCCATAGAGGCTATGCCCCACTCATTGTTGTCAACCCTCCCCTGTAATATTTTCAACCAGGCTTGCAAATGCTCGTTACAGCTAAAATGCTACTTTTAGATATAATGAAACTACAATATATTATAACGATATTTTGTGTTTGTAAGATGCAAGAAGACGAGGTAAAGTTTGTGTATGACACGTAAAACCTGTCAATTTTGAAATACAGAGGGTCAAATAAGCGATTTTAGCTATAATGAGCAATAGCGAAATACAAAATATCGTTATAATATATCATAGTTTAAAATTCCGAATAATAACATTTAACTAAAATGAGCAATTGTTTTCAACGCAAGGAATATAAGTAACAAAAGAACAGCAACAACCGCAAAAACTTCAACCCTGTCGATAGGATTTTCAACCAGATCACTTTTATTGGTGTACAACAGCTACAGCTAAAACCTTTATGGTTGACTCACCGTCCGCAAGATCATAGATACCTTTTATAAATTAGCCCATTCATCGAAATAGCAACCAGACGCTGGTAATGTTTGCGAGAGGTGGAAACTGATAAGCCTCTATCAACAATGAATAAGCTCACTGCTACAAGCCGGCGTGGCGATTAACAAAATTGTATATCTACAAAAAAAAGTAACCACGTGATGTCATAAGTGCGTTTTTCGCGTGTCAACGCGCGAGCATTGCTTTGATATGTTGGTAAACACGCAACTTCTACGTCTGAGAAGCATTCGCGAGAAGATCCACCAGTTGGTGTAGAGTTACACTCATACACTGTTGGATGAGTTTGTACTGCATAAGGAGAATTCATAAATGACGCAAAGCGCAAATTATATTTATGATTAATTGAACATCGTGGCACCATTTCAAGCCGATCCCTTATGTACCGGCACAATCTCCGCCAAAACAGAGAGCAGCTTCTCCCCGCTTCCGACTCTCGAGGAAACGACTGAACCATCTTCTCTCTGTTTACGCCGACGACGACCGGAGCAAACACACACCGGCATATCTAACGGGGCTCCATTCTGTAGTACATCCTCTAAGCTATATCGTACAAATGTTGAATTAGTAGGTTTGGTTGAATCAGTACCACATCAGAATTCAAGTGAGTCGCAGTTGCTCTATCGCTTAGGTAGTTAGAGCAACGGAAAGTAGAGAACAACTTTAATTAAAAAAAAGTAATAGCCCCATTGTTATAATCTTTATACATTGCTGTGGACTGCCAGAGAAAAAAAGTTAATTTTTCACCTGATTCGCCATATTATTCGAAGTCGTGATGCATCCAGCGTTCGAAAATGCCGGTACCAGCAAGGGTCTGGAGGTGTGGAGAATTGAGGTGAGTAATACGCGAGTGGTCAGCTTCTGGTGCAAATGGAAAATGTGCTAAACAGGTTTCAAATTAGATCAGTTTTGTTGGTAAAATTAACTTTTTTTTCTGAACTGGGCGCGTGTCGGTGAGTAATAAATCTAATGGATTTTCCCAAGAAACAAACAAGATATATCAACCGAGATCCAACGGGGGTAGAACATAAACAGTGCGAGCAAAAAAAATCAACTCTGCATATTTTTGGGGGTCATGAAAATCGATTTCCCTTGCACAGTGATTCAAGGTTCGTTCGATGTCGGATGAATGGCGGTGTGGTGCGACGCGGGATAGACGTCTGCTCTGGGAGGCACGGAGAAACATCATTCGACACATTGGCGACATGTGAAATAGTGAACTGTAAAATGTGTTCGCATCTGGTGGTTTGTTGAAAGATTGGTTTATTCGAAACATTAGTCGGTCGGTAAACAGATCAGTGTAAAACTTTGATGACCAAAGAGCGTGGTCTTTGAAGCTTTATGATACTACACCATCAGCTCGAATTTCGCATGTCTAAAGGCAATAAATATGACCAACGAACATAGAAACAGTCCTTGATAAAAAATAAAATAAAGGGTCAACACTATGTAAAATTAAGCCACGTAGTATTTAGTGACCAATTACGATTTGAATTGGGTAAAGTCTATTGCTTTGATAAGCAGGTATTTATCAGTATAATTGATAAAAATAGATAGATAATCCTATTTTCGATCGAATCAAACAAGTTGTTTGTTGTAAAATAATTCGTTTACTGCTCATAGACATCGGCCATCTTTATTTAGAGCCTGTTGTAAGGAAGTAATTCGAAATGAAATACCTCTGGTACAAATGAGATTAGGAGAGCTGGATTGCATTTATTACATTGCAGGAAGTCTGTAAAAGCTATGAATTTATGATTTAAATTAAATTTTTGGGCACACTACAACATTCTATAGGGATCATAATTGACTGGCTATCTATCTGAAAAACTATAGGAAGAAATGGTATAAAACTACAGGAAATAATACTAAATTAAGTCAGGATCAGTGGGCGAAGACTTGTAAACTTGTAACACACTTCTGATCGAAACTACGTCTGAGACAAAGTTATATCCAACAAATTCTGATATTTACTTCAAGTAAAATGGTTTGCTGAAAAAAGTTCAGCCAAATTGTATTTACTGAAATATTATCAAACAGATTATTTATTACTGAACACCCAGTAAGTCAGAATTATTGCTGGAAACCAGTAAAAATTAACTGTCAAATGTACTTTCGCAGATAGAGATTGTTTTCTCTTTGATAATAATTGCTGTACGAAATGGAAATACTTTGGCGAAGAAATATTATCCCTAATGACATAATCTTTATTCCTAGGTTGTCCAAACATTCATCCAGATTTTCCCGCAAAATTGCACTTCTAAAAGGCTTGTGCAATGTTAGTTAAAATGAAATTAGTAAATTATTTATAACTTCTCCAATATATTTGTTTTATATATATGTTTTTATTGAAATATAGAGAGAAAAAATGTCTCTAATAAATGCTGGATTTGCAGCACAATTACCCGGATCTTCTCATATAACAATTGCTGGATTTTATGCAAACTTCTGATATTTGCTGGTTTTCCAGTTCTGCAATATCCAGCGAAATTTTGCTGGTTTCCATCAAAATTAAAATAATGTGAAGCGATAAATTGTGTTTTTCTAGGGAAAATATAAAGAATAATGTTTTTAGTAATTCAGGGTGGTCAATGAATTTTCAGTTTAAGATTCCCCCTCAAAATATTCCCAATTTTTAATATTTAGTGGAAATAAAGATTACAATAACACGATATTTTCGATTTACTTAGGTACCAGATTAATATATTTTTAGGTCGCATAACCGAACGCTTTTGGGCTGAATGGGTAATTATACCGAATTTTAGAGGGAGAGATTACATTAAGAAATTGTTTTGAAAATCTTCAACTTAATTTGCAGCAAGATTTTTTTTAGTATCGTGATCTGAACGAATATAAAACGTAAAAACAAATGTAATCTTAAGAACAATTTTAATTTCTTTGATTCTGAGGCTTTGACATGTATTTAGAGTCTTAAAATATATATTTTTTTTTAGAAATTTGTGACTTATGAAAATCTAGCCTAGATATAGAAGTAAAAACAGGGTTGGATTTATTTATAAAACTGAAAAAAAACACCCAATATGTGGGATTTTAAAAAAAATTCTTGATCCCTGAATTAGAATTTTTTTTTTTGGGATTCCTGATTTGAAAAAATACAGTCGGGAAAATTTTGTGGGCTTGGAAAAATGTGCAGGATTCTAATAATTTAAAGAAATTTTTATAGAATTTTGAAAAATCAAAATTGTGAGAAGATAGAACTTGACCTTAAAGCAAGAGAAAAATGCCGGGGAATGTGTTCTGACGTATATAAAGCCAAAAGGTGAAGAATTTAAATTAAATTCTTGCGAAAGTTTCAAGAAAATTCAGCACAGAATTCCAAGGTATTCTGAGGAGAGTTTTGGGAAAGGTCAAATAGTTTTAAAGGTTTAAGATGATTATGAGCTGAATAAACCATTTTTTAGCTGAAGAAACATATGTTTGCTTGATTAAGCTCAAGCTGTTATTCAACTTTCAATTTTTGTAGGAATATGTTAAAGTTAATTGATGTTTCTTGGATCTCCCGTCAAGTTCCCGGCTTTTTCCCGGTTTTCCCTGCTTCTTTTCAAGTTTTCGGTTATTTTCCGGTTACACGGTTTTCCCGGTTTGCTGGCCACCCTGGTAATTTCAAATAAAAATTTTAAAAAACATATTAAAACCTATATATCTTAGAATATCCATGACCGAATTTTTATTAAAGCTGTTTGAAAATTATGGACACTTAAAAATTGTGAAAAATCGTAGAATAAGAACTTTTGGTCAAATGTTTAAACTTTTTGTAACTGAAAAATATACACAAAAAAGCGTACAAACAAGAAGTTTTAAACTTTGACCAAAACTTCTTGTTCTACAATTATTATCAGTATCATGCCAAAAGATTGCATTTTTCATAAGCTTATTTTATGAAAAATAGTTTTCAAATGTTCTGTAGTCACCCAGTACTTAAATCAGTGCTGGAACTGCCCAAAGAATCCCTAAACATCCTTGAAAATCTCTGAACTTCTGTAACTTTTTCTTCTTTTTCTTCTTCTTCTTCTTCTTCTTCTTCTTCTTATTCTCCTTCTTCTTCGCATTTCAAGCTTAGTGCGTGCTCTCAATTTAGTGTTCTAGATGCACGTTCACAGTAATTCATTGAGAGCTGTCGATGCCTGTACCATTTTTGCATTAGTATAATTCTGTGGCAAGTACAATCAAACTCCATATGCCCAGGGAAGTCGAGAAATGTTTCAACCCGAAAATTTCCTAGATCGGACCAGGAATCGAACCCAGCCACCTCCAGTATAGTCTTGCTTTGTAGCTGCGCCTTTACCGGCTGAGCTAAGGGAACTTTTGTAAGGTTCTCATTTTTTTCTGAACTTTTCTAAACATCTCTGAAGTTCTCTGGATTTCTTGATTTTTTTTTTTTTTTGTTTATTGATTTATTTGATAAGGCTCAAACGAATTAACTTTACAGAGCCGATGATTCTTGGTCACTATACTATACATCTAAAAATTATAGTCAAAAGGTACAACACAATAAACACTTTATCTTTCGCTATCCAAAAAGCCTCCTCCATCAGAACTGGAGCCGCTTGCAGTGGGCTCATTGTATGTCAGTTACGCCAGCGAGGTTCAGAGCGCTTCCATTGCAGCAATGGACGCAAAACGTGGCCAGCACTCACACACTTATCACTAAACGGTTGCTTTCCAAAGTCGACGACGCATCGACCGAAAGAACTGCTGATGAAGAACAAAGAGGAGGACCACATGCCAAGAAAACAGACGATCGCGTGGCACACATCGAGAGTGGCCTGCTTTTGTCGACACCCGAGTAAACACTGGCTTGAAAATTTGGGAATCTCACAATTTTCCTGAAATTAATGGAGCTTCAATGAACTTCCCTTAGGTCCCCCCAATTCTTGAAACTGTCCTGAAACTATGCTGAAATTCTCTAAGTTTCCCTGAAGTTCTTGAATTTTTCCTAACATTTTCCAGAGTTGTATGAAGTTCCCGAAATTCACTCGAACTTTTGTGAAGATCTCGAAGTTTTCCTGAAATTTTTAAACATCCCTGGAGTTCATTAGACTTCATTGACATTTCCGGAACTTTCCGGGAGATTTCTGCTATTTCCCTGAAATTAAAACAAAATAATTAATGTAGTTCTTAGATTTTCAATGAAGTTCTCGAAATTTTCCTGAAGTTCATGGGACTTACTTTAAATTATCGAAAAAAGAGTTACTTCAACTAGAAGTTCCTCAAAACTCTAGACTTTGTTTTTCCTGGATTTGTTCCCCGTCGATCTTGTTTTTCATACTGAATACCAATGCTCCGCACCCTGGACCCTACCTATCAACCCATCAACTCATGGACCGAGGACCAAAGGCTTTACTTCCCTACCGATCAGAGCGTGATCATAGATTTTATGCCTCAGAAAATCCCGACGACGCTGGCTGGGATTGAATCCAGGCCCTTTGGTGTGAGAGACAGTCAAGCTTACCATTACACGACCGGTGCAGCTGATTCTTGACATTCCTGATGTTATTGTAACTGCCCATATGATCTCTGAGCTTCGTTAACTTCTCGAAACTTTCCTGAATTTCTCAGTATTATTTAAAAGTTTCTCTCGAAACCAATATTTGACGGTGTAATCTGACGGAGTATTAACCCCATAATATTTATCCTTTTGTTCCTTCGCCGTTTTGCCTCTCAAAAATAATGTTTTATGAGAGAACGAAAATCGTGTTTATACATACTCAGGCTGTGAACCATTTGCCGAGTTAAATTTAACTCGTGGTTAAAAGTGACATTTCGAAAGTTATTCTTGATGTTCGAAAATCCCTGTGCTGTCGATTGACCGGT